CTGGCCACTCCCACCTGCTCAGGCCCTCCCTCCGTCAGCCCCGCCCACCCAGCCGAGGAAGAGCTCCGCCTACCTCGGCCGGCCCCGCCCCTCTGCTCCAGCTCCAGCCCCACCCCCGTGGGCCCGTGGGGATCTCGCGCCGAGCGGGCGAGGTCTCGCTTAACCCGGAGGCCCAGGGTCCTGCTTCCCCGATGCTGCAGGCTTCCAGATCACCTCTCCATGTCGGGGTTCCCCAGCTAGCTCCTGCCGCCCGGGGAACACGGTAGGTCGCTGCACTCGGCCAGTCGGGAGAGACTGTCAGTGGCGGGTGCGGGCGAGGGCACGCGCGGTGAGTCTCGGACAGAGCGCGTCGAGTGGGGTTTCGGGGGACCCTGGGTGGGAAGCGGGCCGCCCGGCATAACGTGAACGAGGGGAAAGGCTGCGAAACGAAACGCAGGGGCTGGAGTTGCAGTGGGTGTCTTGGCGGCTGGGGCTGGAGAGTGCGGCGCAGACGGGGAAATGACTTTTCAGGGGTGTATTTTGAAAGCGCTGAGAAATTGTCCCAACAAACCAAGCTCTTAGTAATAATTACTGAACTCTTGCCACATGCCCGGCGCTGTAGCTTACGTGAATTAAGTCATTGAATCTCTTAACAGATCATTGTGGGGTAAAGGTGGCAGTGACCCTCCTATTACAGGTGAAGAAACTCAGTCTTGCTGTATATATGAGATTATGCAGCTGGAAAGGGGTGGACGCCAAAAACTCCGGCTGCAGGCCCTTTACAGCGCCAGGGTTCATAGTAGTGGAGCAAAGGAATGCTCCGTAGGCAGCAGGCAGTGACTGGTCATAATTTGGTTATATTGCTAATACCCATCTCTCAAGGGAAAATATCTAAAAATAATTACAACAGAAAAAAAAATGGTATAACAAAAACAAGGTGAGAGAGATTTGTTTAAGTAGCTGAAACATTGGAGGAAGCTGACTTGCCTTCAACAACATGCACCTGTTTTCTTGACAGCTGTACTGTGTGTAGGAAATAGGACCAAAAATTAGCTTGAAAGTTATTTGAACACTCTTCTAAAACCTGCCCTAGAGTGAGGAATGACAGTTATCCTTTTTCAACAACTTGAGTCATTTTTATTTTACGTATATTAACTTTAATAGGTAAATGAATTTTGTGAGAAAACGGAGTCTTTAAAAACAAAGTTAAATGATTTATCATAGACCACAGGGCAAATAAGCTAAGAGTAAGTCATCAGTGTGTGTACTACATGTCAGGCATCAGACCTTGGGGTTGAAGATATAAAAATTAATTTTAAAAAATGTGGATCCTGAAGCCAAATCATGAATATGCATTGTAGTTTCCCCACTTATTAGTTGTGTTAGCTCATAAAAATTATTTAGTCTCTGAGACTCAGCTTCCTTATCTGTCACATAATAATTCCTTCCTCATAAGACTGTGATGTGAATTTAATAAAATATTACTTGTACTTGTTGGGTTGGGACAGTACTTTGATAAATGGAATCTTCTGAGTACAGTACTAATCAGCTATCCTAGAGGTCATGCAACAAATGGGCATTTGAAATTGAGTGGTTTGAAAGAAAAGGATACCTAACATATTTAAGATAGGGCATGGTAAGAAGTAGAAAGACCTTATTATCCAAATCCTGTTACTCAATGTCATAGACTAGTTTTGCTACATCAGCCTTCCCAGGTAGTATAATTGCAAGGACTAGAGTTGAGGATGAGCAAAGGGTGGGGGGGCCTCAGCAATTAGTAGCTGGAGCCAACACACTGGCTCTTTTGGAGAGATACAGAAGGAGGTCTGGTCGCAGCTATAATTTGCATTAATTAGCTTGCTGACTATCTGAATGTTATCTGTTTCTTGGAAACTGTCAAAAGGATGTCACTGGTTGTTCGCTGATTTATGGATAAGGAGTTGTCAATCTTGAAGTGACATGATCTTCACCTTATACAAGTATTTCAGATTTACTTGATCTTGCTCTACTGTGCCACCCTTTATTATTTTTTAAAGATTTGTTTATTTATGCATACAGAACTGGGGTACAGGTGAGAGGTGCAGGGGCAGTGAGAGCATTCACCAGAACAGGCCAACTGACAACTGACCAAATACACTGCTGAGGGAAGCTGCTGACGGTCAAGAGCCGTCTGCCTCACCATGCGGATCACCTTGGGGGGGGGATCAAACTCATGCTGAAGTGGCTTTTGCTTCTTAGTGTTGTGCTTTAACCCGCTGCACCACCAGGGAAGGCCCCATTTTATTATTTTTATCTAAAACTACGTTTCATTTATTCTCTTTAAGATGTCATAAAATACCTGGAGACAGATCCAAAATGGAAATGGGAGGGTATTATTTTCTTCTCCACTTTAACTTTTTCTTCTTCCAGGGCTGATGAACTATTAGGGCAGGAAAGAGGGATGATTTCTAAAGTAAGAAATCCCATTCTTAGGGCCCTCCCTGGTGACACAGCGGGTAAATGCAGCACTAAGAAGCTAAAGCCACTTCAGCACGAGGTCAATCCACGGCCTCAGAGGTGACCCACATGGTGCGGCAGACCTCTCCTGACTCACCTGCTGCAATGTACTTCCTCAGTCAGCCTGTTCTGCTCCCCGACTCTGCCTCTGGTGAATCCTCTCACCATCCCTGCACCTCTGGCCTGTACACCAGTTCTGTATGCATAAATAAATACATCTTTAAAAAAAATCCCATTTTTAACTTGTCACAATTCCTCAGGACATGAATGATACAAAATGTGCCTTCATCCTACCTACCAAATTAGGGATAATAGAGAATTGGGGCTATATTGTTTGATGGTAAACATAGCCCACTAATTTGTGCACCTATGTAACCTTGCCTTATCTGAATATTAATAGATTGAGGGTAATAAGCACAGTGGCCAAACCTGTCACCTTCAAAAGTGGAAAATTTGGGCACCTCAAAGTGAAGAAAAGGGTAAATAGTACCCACAATGGGTAAAGGAAATGAATAAATGGGAAATGTAATGAGGGAACTCAACATTTTGCAAGAGGCTCAGAGCAACAGATGCTTCAAACAAGGTATGAACCCCTTCATACTAGTAATGAAGATACCAGTATCTTTCGACCTTTTTGATTGCTTTCTATGGGGGAATTCTACGTTCATAGACCAGGGGGTAGACAGCAATAATGTAATTAAGAAGCCTATTTAGTCTCTGCCCCAACTTCTGGTACTTTAGAGCTCCTATAACTCTTCAGCATGTCCCAAGTAATAGGAGCAGTACCTTTGGTTATGTTAATGACTTTTGCACAATTCCTAGG